ACCTCTTTAAACTTAATGAGACAAATGTACATTTTGACAGAATATGTCCTAAACTTGAAAATGAACCAAAAGGTGATTTTGAGGAAACTTTGGCCGCCCATACAAATTGCAGGCAACATGGGAGTAGTTTAGATATCAAATAGTGATGAAGGTCAAGAAAAAGAGCGGAATTTCCAAACAGTGTTCTTAATCAGCCGTTTTGCAGCCACTTGCAGAGTTTTCTCTTGGAATTGAGAAATAATCAAGTAGCATTTCTTGTTTTAGGGTGGATGGAGAAATTGATGGCGTTAATGTCTCAGGGGACAACTTGCTGCTTACAGCTGGATCTCAGAACATCACTGGCATTAAGACATTCTCTCAGGATGTGAACGTTTCTCCAAATATAATCCTCAATGCTTTGCTGAATGGTATCGACTTAGTGGATTTGTTCCTGAATACAGTAAGTCTTTCGTTTTCTTTAATGTGTACATATTTCAGTATTCATGAGGTAAGAAGCGTGACACCGGCTTGCAATAATGCCATGCAGGAAATATTTCTTCTTGATGCAGATGACGTTCTGTAAAGAACAAACAGAGCTTCATCTATGCTTAGAGATATTTCCTGAATGGTGATATTGGAGGCTACTCCACATTGCTTCCTCCCCCATGCTAGCTTCATCGTCAAGAGGTTTGACAGCACATAATCATACAATAAGTTTGAACAGGTCCAGGGATTTTTTCCGGAGGCATTGTGTGCTTCATTTTCTGAATGAAATCTTTTAGGCCATCTGTCAGCAATAAAGATGCGCACTAATTGCCCTGGGTTGAACCCATTTGCTCTGACATGTAACGTGGCTACTCCAAGGTGCATCCAAGTTAAACTGTCAAGATTCTGCACAAATACCCTGAGTGCACCTGATTTAGTCAGAGTTGCCAGGTTACTTGCATCTTTCCAATGCAGTGGAGAGGGCTACTCAGCAGTTAGTCATCTGTCAGCAATGTCATCTTTTCCACCAGCAACCTCAGCATTGACCCAATATCCCTTGATATAGCCTAGTTATCCTCAACTGCACCACATTGGGTTGTTTTTTTTCCATCTACGTCAAGAGATTTTCCTCTGAGAGCAGAACTCAACATGCTTCCGAGCAACAGTAATTTGGTTTACTGTTGTTGTTCCCGACCCACGTAGTAGTGTCTTGTTTGGATGTCGTTTTCCCACTTGTGGCTATTTTCTTGTTATATAGCTGTTCTCTCTTATGATTGACCTCTCATATTTGTATGCTCCCTGACACACCTATATGCATTTCCCTTGCATACATCTATTTGGTAGTCTGTGTTCGCCTCGTCACCCCTCTGTTATCGTGTTTATAGTTCATTTTGTTTTTGCTGTAGGCCCCTTGTTATTTGTAAATTTTTTACTTCTTTTGTACTGTACATGTTTGCTATATATTTTATTGTTTTGTGTTGAGGTTGAATAAATAATAATAATTAGAATAATAGCTGTTGTCTGGTGGTTTCCTCCAGTATCTGTCTCCTCTGACCTTTTTGGGGGGAGCTGAGGGAAATGATGCTTTGGCAAGATGAAGTTTTGTTGAAAAAGACAAGAAGAAGAAAGACCTGGAATTCTCACATTAGAATTTTGATTAGCTGAAGAGTAGTGAACATTGCTTTGTAGTCACCCTCTGTCATCCCTAATCAAATCAAGGAACTAAAATAAATGAGTAAATCACTGATTGTTTGTAATGATTGTTAAATTTGTCTAATCAACAGCTTCTGATCAGTCCCAACCAGACAATCGTTGGCACGTACACATTCTATGACAACCTGATATTGAGTAATGTCACAACCCTGCCTGACGTACTTGTTGACGGAATACGTATTCAGGAGCTGTATCGTCATGTCTACACCTACCCTACATTTGAGGAGTTTAATAGAAGTCTACAGCTGAGATGTGATATGTTGAATAAGATGCATGAAGCCCAGGAAAGTAAGCTGTTCTTTGCTTTGTGATCTGAAGAAATACGAATTTATTTTGATGTTGTCTTTACACAGCGTACACTAGATGCTACAGTCTCATTGGCTCATTTATGTCAGTTGCCTCGTCTTTACACTGAAAGTAGCTGACACATTTGCTGTCGTCTTATTGACTAATTGAATTGAAATTGAATGGTGATTACAGAAATAGTAGGAATTGTAGCAGAAATTGTCTTGGTTTCTCCCAAGATAGAAAAAAGAAGTAATTAAACAATTAATGCATTTAAAAACACCCTTAGTTCACAATAAATCGTAAAAAATCTACAAATCTAAATCTACAGATTGCTGTCGTTGATTGCTGGTTTTTGTACCCCTTCCAATAGACGCTGCAGTCTTGCTGATACATCTAGATACAGTGCAGGTTATCGATACAGTTGGCTCTCTCTCTTGGCATGCATTCTACTTTAACGACACCCAGTGGCTGGTGGCAGCTCAGAAGACAACGTATCCAGACACTGACTGTGTTGGCTCAAATATCTACCAATGGAATGAGACTACCAACAACTATCAGTACTATCAGGTCTGTCTGTTGACTACTAGCTGAGACGCTACTTTTTAAAACTTGATTGAGAATCCTGAGTGAAACTTGAGGATTATGACCAAATACCCCCAAACCAGGCCAAAGTTTTCATCCTTCAATGTAATCCTCCAAAGTGACTGATTTGTCTGCAGAAAGCTGTGAAAGTTGTGGAACTGGCATCGTTCTTGTGTTTATTTTGGTATCATTTTCCAGAAGTAGCTTGTCATTCTTCAGCCTGGTTTTGGAATGATGGGCCATAATTTCTGTAGCATAATTTGTCTGTTGCTGACCGCTGTGATCATGTTGGGCATGTGATGGTGGTTTTTACACCTAGAGGATGCTTGGTATTTGTAGGGAAGCTGAGGTGCCATGCATCGTATGAGGGGGTAAAAATACTTGTCCCGCTTTCAAAGTGTTCAAAATTGTTTCAGTATCTCATGCCAGTCATTGAAAGAAAGAAACAGGTGGGATTATAGTGTGCCGATGTGACAATGTCATACGCACAATTATGTGTGTGAAAGACATTAGCGTGGGAACATGCATGTAAAACAACACATGCGCATACTCCATTCGTCAGTACTGCACGTCCTGGTTCAAAATGACGTCACTCTACAGAGAAGAGATGGCGAGTACATAAATTAGAAGTTTAACACTAGTGGCAGCCGAGTTTCAAAGTTGGCTGTCATGGAACCTCTATGCCAAGTCTATTAGTTTTACATTATGCACCCAAACTATGTATCTGAAGCATGTATCTGAGGATCAGCAGCGTTCATAGGGGAATGCTGCGATATACCGCCCTCTTGATACTCTTGGGCAATATGTTGCATCCTCAATCAATCTATCAATCTTATTTCTCATCATCAGACGCTGTATCCCAAAACCACTGTTGATGTTGACTCGTTTGTAATGAATGATCGATTGTTCTTAATCTTCGCTGGGAAGCATAATGATACTGGACAGTGTGACAACTTTACACGCTTATTTGAAGGTGATGATGTGGATGGTATCATCACACTTAATCGAAGTAAGTGAACATGCGTCACTGTCATAACATCGGGAATCACAGTGGACTATAACTTCTAATAGAACTAATGTATTGGGAAGATGTACATTTGAAAAAGCAGGCTACGCTTTGCCAATGCAACTTGATGAATGCTGTATGTTCAGTTTTTCTTAGCACTTGTCAGAAATTTTCCTACTCATGTTGGCAAGAGACAAACCCGTTTTTTTTTCAGTACTGTAGCCATGTTGCACAGTGAGAGATGTTTCTAGGGGCTGCCAACCCATAAATATCCTTTTCTCGTGCTTGTCTTTCGCAGCCTCAGTCCCCAGTGATTTCTACAGTTACAGCACCACCAATGTCCTGGTCTGGTTGCCTGACTCTGAGACCTTCTATCTCTACCAAGCCCTGCCTTGTGTCTCACCTTCCGATGTCGAAGTCTTTGTTGATCCCCTAACCAATCAAACCTGCGTAGCCATAGCTAATGAGGTCCATGTTGACAGCAATGGGGATTTCTTCTCTGTCTTGCCGTCTTATGTCTATTGTCTGGAAGACCTGGAGAATGGATTCTATCTGAAAGATAATTTCACTACTGCTGGGGCACGCAGTGTAAGTAAAACTTTGCTGGATTCCATCTTATTTACTTTTTCTGTCAGTGTGCCTTCTAGCTCCATTGTATATTGGTCTGTAACAGGATTTCAATAAAGCATTATTCTTTGGAGCTTAATTAGCTTAGATTTCCACTTTTTCACTTGTTTTAAGGTTAGCCCTGTGAAAATTAGTCAAAATCGATGCTTTAGTTATGATGAAGGGGTAAGGGATATTTGTGTGTATTCATAAAGGCGACTATGAAAAAATGTAAGTAATATTAATGGAAAACTATCTTCACATTTTGTTTTTTTCAGTTGAGTTTGTTTACCTAGGCTCTCTGTCGTTTCAGCAAACATTTCACAATGTTAATTTACACTCATGCTCTTTCAGAAAATATAAAAAGTTCTGTTACATCATCAGGTTCATTTTGTTGAAAGTTAACACATCTCGTGTTCACTTGACTGACAGTGTTAGCTAGTCCTTTTCACCATACTTACCTCATGTTCTGTATGTTTCTCATGTTCCATTTCATTAATTATGTCGCAGGTCAAATTTACAAGGGTTAAAAAAAAATTTACATGCTGTATAGACGTAAAAAGACAAAGTTAAAATATAACATCAAACCTCATAAAAAGACTAAGACCCAAACACTAAAATAGTTGCATGCCCCTGCGGGATTACTAAAAAGCGAACTAAATCACTATCAAGTTGTTCTCCCATAATATGTTCAATAAAAATATCATGTCTGTTAAATTTTGTCTATTCATTTACAAAGATCAAACATTTCTTCAAGGATGGCATCCTTCACTTGGCTGTTGCTAATCGCTTGACTGACATCACAGATTCCTTCGTTGCCGAGTCTGCCATTTTTCAACAATCGAGTAATGGCTCTTTCATCCAAGTTGCTACGACTGAGGGAACAGCAACCTTGGATGTCCTGCCGATTACCATTGAAGATAACTGGTATATCGTCCTAGCCAATGAATTCAGTGGCACACTCAACAAAGCAGATTACGATGTTCCAGTGTCCGTTTACAAGTAAGCTCCCCATTTTTACACGCTTGTCTTTTTTTCCAAGATTATTAATCCTCCAAACTTCAGCAATGATTGGTACGGTAAACTGATCTGTTCTTTAGCAGAACTTGGCAATCCGCCCCGATCGAAAGTAACACTGGCTGCAATACACAGTCCCAAACCGTTAAAACACTGCACAAAATCATGAAATTCATGAGCAAAGTTACTTCATCATACTTTATATGGTGCTGAACCAATTAAGGTAATTGGACGCGCATGCCCACGGATCATCAAGTATATAGTGCAGTGCGTTAGCTACACTTCATTCTTTGTTCTCTGTAGATATTCAGATAGTAGCACGTTGGTACTAGAACAAGAGCTGTCAGCGTTTGGTGCTAGAGCTCTGGGTTCCTACAGCACAGGAGATGAGTCATTCATCATTGTTGTGGACCAAGTCACCACCAGTGTCTACAAGTTTCAGGGCGTTGACCTCTTTGTAAAGATTCACACTTTGGACACGTATGGTAAGCAGTTGTGAAATGTTTTCACCGTTTATAGTTTAGGAGGTTGGAGAAAATCAACGAAAAATTCAGTTCACAAATTGGTCAACGTGGGATTCAAACGCAGGTTAGATGGGTGACAGGATTGGTAAATGACATCAAAGCCGCCAATTGTAAAAAGTTTCAAGACTTTTTGTGCCGTACTGGTAGCAGTAAGTCCAAGATGGAAAAGTGTGCCTAGATTTCCTTGAGGACCCCTCCCCCTCCACCCTTCCTGTTCTCTTTTTGGACTCGTTAAAAAGGCCCCTCAAGCAGGGCACTCATTTAACCACTTCGTGCCAGGGCATTTTTCAATGTTGATGATGCTGGGCCGGCATGACTATAATTTTTTCTGTTTTCAAAATCCTTAAAAAATTCATCATTCCATTTAACGGTCGTTTACAGCCGCACGAAGTAATCTTTAGGCACTACTCTAAGTTGACAGGTGACTTTCATTGACGCCCGAGTATTTCAG